AGATGAAGGTGTACCTAATCATGAAAGACACTAAAGTATTACTAAAAGAAACTGCTAATTCGTGTCCGTTTTCGTGATAAACGGTGTTGTTTAATGAATGAAATGAAAACTAGCCGAGCACTTACCAAAGATTTATTTGGTTACCGTACGAACAACTATTTATGAATAACAAAGAATACAACATAAATGAAAATAATAGCAATAAAAACAAAATGAAGTAAATTAATAAACGAAAGAAAAATCGTACAATTAGTTTGGCTTTCAACCGCTGTCTCAACACGAGCTAAACAATGCCTGCAGGAGACGTCGAGTCTTCTGGGGCCAGGGAGTCAGGGTTTCCACTGGGGCGGTTGAGTTTCTGGTGTGACGGTGGAGGACAAGCGGTGGTCGGTGGTAGTACCGTTTTCGGTACAGGATTGACAGGGACGTCAGTCACTGGGATGTCATGCGGCATAGGAATACGGCAGTGGTACAGTCGTCCCGTGTACTTGAATAATTGATATTCTATTCTAGAATGAGCCTGACCTACCTGCCCCCCCTTTGCTACGCCAATGACTTTAATTGAATAGCAATAGCAATCAAAATAAGTAGTGTCCGACCGAAAGTTCGGTTTCGGTTTCGGTCGAGTTTCGACAAAAAAACGAGTTTCGGTTTAGTTTCGGTTCCGGGGCAAACCTGCCGAAACTACGACCGAAACCGAAACTGCGTTCGGGAGTTCTCGCGCTCTGCTCGGTTATGTTCGGCGCGTTAAATTCCATTCAAGCGAAGTAGATTAGTAGACATTTCGCCGCGTCTAGGTGCATAATCATGTAGTGACTGGTTTGTGTTGATAATAGTGATTTATTTTGTTTTGTTTATTACTTAAATATTAAGTTCCTATACCTATTGTGATATTAGTTAACAATAACAAAAGTAATTTTATGTTTAATGTTACATAAAAAAAAGCATGAATAATCTTCAAAAGAAAAATGAGTCTAGTTTACTATACTTACTCAAATAAACATCTCACCTATTTTAAGTATTTTTAAGGCGCAATTAAAGTATTTCCTTAAATGAGGGGTTGTTATGTTGATTTTGATTTGATTATCAAAACTGAGACCGTTGCCGAAATTCGGTTTCGGTTTCGGTTTCGGTCGTAAAAACCAGTTTCGGTCGGACACTAAAAATAAGCATAAAATTATATCAAATGACAGCTCTAATTAATGTATTTTAGCAAGGCTTTAATTAAAATATAATAACACAATACATGTTTTTAATGTTACATACGATCTGCAAACAAGGAAACGACAATTACAATTTATTCTTCAGTTCGTTCCCTTTTACAAATTTTATTCATTATTATTTTATGGCATTGGTTTACGAAAAAAATTCGCTGGGAAAAAACTCTGGCAAAGTTCCCCCACGGAAAAAAATGTCCTAAAAAAGGTATCCCATCGTCACAAATCCATAGAAAATTATTGTAAACGAGACCTTATTCAACAGTTACCTACCAGAAGCATGGAACGTTTCTTAATAGCAAATGGTCATATACACTATTCCGTCCGATTTCAGCTGATTCCATAGTAAACTGCAATTAAATAGATTCGTTATATGTCCATACTTAAGGTCCCGGTTAAAATAATTTTTTGGAAATTTTCTTCCGATGGGACATTTTTTCTAGGTGCTTTTATCCGAGGAGAAATTTTTCCGATTCCTTTCTAGGGAGTTTTTTCCCTAAATTTTGCATGCGTGCGCTCAAGCGGCTAGCAAATCCTTGTCGGCGGCGCCTTTTGTGGGTGGCGGCCCGTAACATCGGCTTAAGTCAAGCGTAGCTGAGACAAGGTATAAGAATTATATAGTACCTAATACTCACACGGAGCCGTGCTCCAAACATCTTTAACTTTTAATATTTTTTTTTTGTATTTCCAAATAAACCTATCTCGAGTAATAGTATTTCCTGTTTGTTAAATGAGATCTGATCCTGCGCTGTTCTTTGCTCTAAGCAATAGTTTAAACTTCTATAGGCCATGCCCATCTTGAGTTATCTAAGTATCGAAAATCTAGTTTATTGTTTCTTATTTATACGGACAGAATAATCTTAGAAATATTACCATGCTCACCACCATAAAGAGGGTGCAAGAAAGATTTCAACAAATTCAATATTAGTCCAATAATTTATGAACTTTACTAGAGAATAAAGGAATTTTTACTGTGCTAGCACGGTAATTTGTTCATTGTCAGTTAAAGGCACCCATATTATGACTCAGCATGGTAATTTTTACAGGATTTTTCTCACCGTATATAACAATTAAGTATGTAGTATACAAATGACAAATCTCGTCATCAAGTTGTCGATTAAACAAAATCTAGTAACATATCATTTGCACAGATAAAACTTAGAAGTGTAAAGTACCTACTAACTAAAGTATAGAAAAGTTGAACAAGACACAAGGCACTAAAGTTTTAATCTATTTAAATTGTCGAAACTTTTGTTGGAATACTTTTAATACTCGTGGGTACAAGTTTACAAAACAAAGACTAAACCGAGCGTCAGTTGCTAAATTTAAATATTCCCACAGAAAATTGTTATATTAATGATAATTTATTACTGTTACACAGTTACACATGTTTCATTTTGTTTGTGGAGAGTTTTAAAATTCTGAGAAAGAATAAAATAGGGAAATAAATTCAGAAACAACGTAAAAAATATTTTCAGTTAGAAGGAATGCAAAAAGAAATATTATTGAGAAAAAAATTAACAACAAAGTCAAACACTGCAGTCTGAGATACTTAAGAAGGGGAGGATGTTTTTTTAATGAAAATGTACCTAATTCCATTTTGTTTACACATGAAGATTATGTAAACAGTCCAAATGGTGGAACAGCACGACGGCTGATATTGCAACAAATTATAGAGATGAAGGTGTACCTAATCATGAAAATTAGATTAGGTACTTTTTAAAACTAAAAGATAAACAGACAAATAAACACAAGTTTAAATAAGATACAAAAATAAAACGTTCCGGAAACTGTTCAGAAGGATCACATCATTGAAAAATGAAATTTTGAAAGTAACAAGACATCTGTATTTAAAAATCCTACAAAGATTTAAGATCATGAAGAGAATAAAGCAAAACAAAGATTCGCCCATTAACACTTTTCACAGAAGACACGTGTTTCGAGATACTGCTTCACATTAGAAGTGTCAAAACACTTGCCCGCTGTGGCAAATGTTATAGATAAGTAGGGTGAGTCTCCTTTTTTAGTTTATTTTTTTGCAATAGTTTCCAATGATGTCTACTTTGATTACGTGAATTGTTTAAATGATATTGAATAAGCAAATTAACAAGCATTTTTATAAGAACTCCATAATTTCTAGTAATGCGTTGATTTCTCATTCGGAAGGGACTTCATTTGCAGAGATATCCACAAAATGATTAGGAACCGAGTTTGTCAATTAACAAATAATGTTTGTGAAAAATGGTGTCCCTTATACCTATAGGTACTCACAAGTGAAAACGAAGTTCTAAAAAAAAGAAACTTTTGGGTGTTTCATTCCCACCAGCCAGTAATGCTGGTAGGCCGGCAGTCTTTCCGGACTACGCCGGAAGGTAGGGCAGAAGACCATCTTCAGCCTTCTTTCAGGAATCGTGGGAATAAGTGGGTGGTGGTTCGGGTGAGAAAGATGAGATGGACGAAATGAACACAGAAGAGAATAAAAGATTATCTGTGGAATATTACCGCCTCAGCATTTGCCTAAGTGATCCAAGGAAATCAGAGAAAAACTAGGACCCCCGTAGGAAAAATTTCCATTAAAAAAATGCCATTTAATTACCACTAATAATAGTTAATGGTAATAAATGGAGAATTGCCAATNTAGTCAAACTGTAATATTGTTGCGCCCCTGCTTAGGTCGCCCTGACGAACTTTATTTGTATTATTTATGTTATGTATGTGATTGGCTTTAGTGCTAGAATGCTCGTCTGCCACGCGGACGTCCTGGGTTCGATCCCGAGGCTGTGTAGTATTTTCTTTATGATACAATAATAGCACATATGTTTATCGTTTCTTTGACAGTATCCGTATAATATGAAAATTTGACATACTTACCTCGTACATTTTGATTATTGCAATTTCTTCTTTCACTTCACATTAACACTTCCCTATCTTCCCACTTATTTAAATTGGAGGAACGCAGTGGCGGACAAAGGGGAGTCGACTCCGGGCCTCTAGTTTTGCTTACCAGTCCGCCACTGGAACACATCTCCATAGGAGATCAACAGGAACGCGTGTTTTGGTAACCAAGAAAAGTTGTTAAGAGTTGGAGGACGTAAAATTGACAATCATGTCATTTACTGATTATTACATTTAAAATGTTGATTCTCGAGCAGCTATTTTGTTTTGACTTTAGCATAATATGACAGGATAGAAGAGTTATCATATGTTGATCTTGACATTAATAACAGCGTATACTACACGGGCTAAATTAAAAATTAAACAACAAATAAAAAAGATTAGAAGGCGATTATCAAAATAGAAAGAGATACAAATGGTGGCGTTTTAAATGACGTTATTTAGAAGTAGTTACGGAGTAATTAATGATGTATAAAAGAATGCATGGAATAGGTAATTAATATGAGGATACCTTTACGTGGAAAAAAGTGATAAAAATTCACATTTCCTTGACAATCCCACGGCTCTCTCACTCACCTGAAAAAAAAAAGAAGTACGTATTATTACCTTGAATTATACATAAATATGTACATTTAAATGTGTATGTATTGCACATGCGGTATAACTATTTTAAATCGTATGCAATTGCCTTCATCAACAATAATTTTTAATTTACGGTGTTATTTGAAATATCATGGCACATTAACTATATGGGACATCTAAAGATAGAACTATATTGTACAGGGTGAATAAACATCGTCATAAGGCAGGGGTCGGTAAACATTTATGCTGGAAGAGTCATTCGCAATAAAATTTTAGTTTCATGAATTTTAAAGAGCCACGAATTTTTAATTCGGCTTTTACATCTTATTAACTTCCCATTAGGAAGTTATTGTAATTGGGTCGAAAAGTGAAATCGGAATTTTCATTATATTTCCACGTTTTAACATATTAGTAGCATGCTAGCCAATTTTTTTGATGATGTGTGTATGTACGTACGTACGTACGTACGTACGTACGTA